CCTGTCCGCCCTTTTCCAACCCACCCCCTTGACTGAAATTTTTCTTCTGGCATTCATGGTTACTCTTGGCCTTGTTTGAAGTTACGTGACACTTGCTATAGCTTCCTTTCTCTCCCTGCCTTTTTACAGAAACTGAGAACAAACAGCATGGGTGCATATGGCACTTTGAGGGAAAGTAGGAAAGGCCTTCCTTTCAACCCAGAGCCATAAACATTTAATATAAGAAAGGGGGATGGGCCAAGAGTTGGGTGAATACAATGAACATGATTATATATACCTGGCGAGAGACAAGGCTAATGAATCTGTTCTTGGCTATGCATAATAGTGGAACTGAATTATTGCAAGTACAATCTAGGGGCATGTGGTAGTGTATAAGCCAGCCGATACTTTTTGGCCCGTGTCCTTCACTGTCAGCGCGTGAGAGTGAGTGTATGCTATGAACTTACTTTGTCTGCAGAGAGAACATTCGTAGGCTGACTGCTTGTGAGGTTGGAAGTTGCTCTCCGACTGCAGCATGAATTTACACGTAACTGGAACTTCAGTCCTATCAGTCACAATTCAGGCTTTTTAACATCCTATTATGATGAACTAATTTACTCACAGTATGCTGCACTACACTAGCAACGTTAAATTAAAATATGCATAAACCTAACACAATACTAATTATTCGTCTAACAGTTCCACTCCAGACAAGTCACTGTTTTGACTGAGTTCAGTTGTAGTATTATCACTGGAGTCGCTGTCACTGCTGTCTTCAGAACATCAAATGATAATTCTTTCTATAGCGTTCTCTCTAATGCCCTCTTTTTCGATATATATTCCTTTTTATTCTTTTTGGTGCAGTTGCAAATTTTTCCCAATTCTCTATTCCAAATTCACTGAACCATTTCTCACACTTCTTTGCTTCGTCATCCAAATGAAATGAGACATTTTCTGCCCCTACTGACTGCTTAACACAAGCCCAAACGAGTTCAATCGGATTCAAGCCTGGATGATAAGGTGGAAATCGTAATACCGTGTGTCCATATGCAGCCATTATGTTGTCCATTACAAAGTTTTTGTCGAGGGTTTTATGTGCCTTTATCAGGTCATAGAGCTGAATTTTGAGCATTGTGTCATGAAATGGCACATTGTTCGCTGTAAGCCACTCCATCATCTTGGCTTTCGTGGTCTGGCTGGTTGGCACCTTATTAAACTGCACATTGTGATACGGGGCATAATCTACAACGAGAACTGATTTTGGAGGTAAATTCGGAATAAGTTTTTCTGTTAGCCACTTCTGATAATTTGTCGCGTTCGTTTCGCTATGATAGTCCCTGGTCTTGAGATGAGATTTAAATATCAACAATGACCTGGGAATGAAGCCGGTTCTGCCTCCCGCGTGCACAATAATCAGCCTCTGGCCCTTCGTTACGGGTGCCATGTACCCTGATGGAGTGTCATCCGTCCAGTTTTTAGGTCTGGTGTGACTGCTGTGATTGAAGGTCTCGTCCTCATAAATTATAGTCAGACCTTCCTCCCTGTACTTCTTTATTGCATGCAAATGTGCTACTCTCTTCAACCTAATGTCCCTCTTGATCAGGGTGCCCCTGTTATTTCGCGTTTTCTTCCATTTAAAACCCATCTTCCATAAAATCAATTTCAGGCTGGTACTACCTCCCTTGAAATTTATGGTTTCCCTGAGTTTTGTAAGTAGTTTCCTCACAGTAGGCAGTTTCTTCTTGGGTGTAGAAACCATACACTGTCCATCTAATCACAGATACATCGAAATCATCTGGATTTGTTATCTGTTTAGGTACAGAATGGTGTTTACCGGGAGTTCCGTACATAGCGCCTTCTTTTTCACATCTAGAACCTTCATTCAGAATTCTC